CATTTCGTTGTTCATGCATGGAGCGGTAGCACCTGATAAGCGCTCTCGAAATTTATTCGCGCGAATAAATTCTGCTACTTTGGCTTGCTTCAAAAATAGTGTGGTCTATTATGTATTATGTATGTATGTTTTGTATCATGCATGCTGTCCATCTTGCATTTTAATGCTATCCTGTCCTTTAGGAAGAAAAATAAAAAGGGCAGAACACTGCAGAAATTCCAGTCACATATACGAACGAAATGGTTGCAAGGTGGCATTCTCGGATAGCCAGGGCGGCACTCCTGATGGCATTCCTTCTTTTTTTAAATCAATACTACATAAAATCCAACGACCCTCTAGATATTCAGAGCTTTGATGTGGATAGCGGCCACACAAATGTGAAGCGTCAGCAGTTGCCAAGTCTGGAGCAGCTAGATTGACCGCAAGTATAATACCGGCCTCTTCCGTTGGGTCTTACGAGAGGCAAACAAACTCCTTGGGAACCACAATACAGTCGTAACCAGATGCGCACACAATGAAAACTATTCAGTACTTTTGCAGACTTAATGGAGGAACTGGGTGTGAGTGACAAGTGGATGATCTGGGGTGGCAGCCTAGTTGAATCTTTTCGCCACCACGATAACATACCCTGGGACAAGCACGTTGAGGTTCTCGATGATTTCAGTGTGACAGAGGCGTTGTGGAAGAAAATGTCTGAGCTGGCACCTAAAATTATAATTCGACAAGGTTTTCTCTGGGACAAGATCTACGCGAAGTTAAGTGAACCGAGTAATACTTCCCTTGATGTCGAGGGGAGCCGCAACCTGTAACTGGTGTGACTGGGGTTGGCCTTTTATTGACATCGGTTACTACACCTCTAACGCAACCCATTTGGAAGAACATGCCCCGTTCAACTTAGTTAAACCTATCCCGGCCATTCTACAAGCACTGGGTCCCAGCGCCAAGAAACACCTTTGCGGCTATCATGCAGCCAAAATTTGGCGAGGTCGACTGCCTCACATCCGGATGGTCACGATTGTCTTGCTATTTGAGAAGAAGTAGTTTCGATCACCGGAATCGTATTTTTATTTGTCTAAGCTTTCGAACCCTTGCGGGAGTCCATCGTCAGAGATAAAACCGTCAACGAAAGCAAGCAACATTTATTGGGGGAGGGGCCAATTAAACGTCAACGAAAGCAGGCAAAATTTACCGGGGAAGGGATCAATTAACAGTCAAACAAAATTTACGGGGGAAGGGGCCAATAAACCGTCAAAGAAAGCAAGCAACATATAAAGGGAAGGGTGAAAGGGGGCAATTAACCGTCAACGAGAGCAAGCGAAGACCTTTTTTATAGGAAAAGGTGTTAATTATCCGTCATTGGGGCGGGGAAGGGGAAGGTGGAAGGGAAGAGGGCTATTCTAAAGCATTCATAAGTCGATGCCTACGTGCTCGCCCACTGAGGACCCAAAATTAAGCACCGCCAATGATTCGGAATGCACTGCCATATATAAAAGACGTGTCGGAAGCGACCGAAGATGAAATGGCGAACATACGTTTGTTTTCGATAATTCTCGTCAGGCCTT